CACAATGCGAGGTGCAAAAGGAGACTGATAAATATTATTATATCAAATTCATAATTCAGCACTTATATTGATGGCAAGCTTCCAAAATATTTGTTTTTTATGATTAATCATAATTAATATTAAAATGTGTGAATCGCCTTGAACCAGTGATAGTGTTAATTTCTTCAGTTATGGCTGAGACAGAAAAATATAACAGGAGTTAGTTAGCTGAATTAACCAGCTGAGAGCTGAGTATTCTATAATGGGGCATAGCTGGTTACAGGACTCTGGTGTAGAATGTCAAGGGTGTTAGAAGTGAATCAAAATAGAACAAGTATGACATTATATATACTAATAGTATCTGTGTGTATTTAATTTGTTTTATATGTACACTTTTGGTTATACAACATTATTGAGATGTTGTAAAGATACATTCTTAATTTATATTATCATTTAAATATGAGCAGGCTGATGTAACATAACCAGCTTATTATGGTCACTACATATGTGCATGTCAATCAAAAGACCATATATGTAACGTCCCCTCCCTTCAATGTAATTGCTCTGCTAAGCAGTATTGTTTGCCATACAAGGTTCTAAGATTACAAATTATGACGCTTACTAGCATCATAAAAAAGCATCCTAAGACACTGACACACGCATGCACACGCACGCACACACACACACACGTCTGTCCATCCGCACAAGCAAAGCTGAGAAGCTGGAACAGGTGCACTCTCTAAGACAAGAAATAGTACACTAACGTCTACTTCCGGAAAGACTCTGAAGGACAAACAGAACATGGAAGAAGCACACGAGACAATGAACACAAGGGTGACACATCTTTAAACTTCTGCTATGATATTTCTGGTTTTATCTACATGGAATTGTTCATGATACGCTTCACATTGTTATTTTAAGCTATTGTGTGATAAAATAAAATCACACTTTATTTTTTACTTTGCCGGCTCTTTAATCACAAGCAAAATTGCCTATAGACACTAAAAAAGTACTATATGTGTCTCAGAAAATTCTACAGAGACCCTCAAGATGTGTTATTGCACTATTGCATTTAACGCTCGTTGCAGTACAGCGAAACAAAATGTCCCACTTGCACCAGAAGTAGTTCCACCATTGTAAAGAGCTTAAAGCAAACCCAAATTTTCTGTATACACGATAAACACATGGAATAAGTAGTCCTAGTCTCAGTCATCCTCTAGAGCAGCTATTCTCAATCAGGGTTCCTCCAGAGGTTCGTGGGGGAACCAAGAGCAATGAGCAATTTTTGACACTCGGGTAAGTGATCCTTAAAACCAAAGATTTTCTTTAGCTACCTCTAAGGGGGGATTTTTCCCAATAACCTCAAATGTAAGGAGCATTCTTTCCATTGACTATTGCACTGATGTACAGTGAGCTTTAGATATGGCAATTATTAACAGGGATTCCCTGAGCTCGGAGAGTTATTTCATGTTATAAGGTTGGGAAAGGCTGTTCTACAGAGATCCAGGAGCCCAAAACTGGCTTTTCTAGTATGCAAACACAACACTTAAAGCAGGGGCGGACAGACAACTCATGGGGCCCCCGGGCAATAGGGGATCATGGGGCCCCTGTGTCCTTGCCCAAACTCAAAAAAGCCTATGAAAAAGATACCAGGGGAATCTCATGGGGCCCCCTAATGACCCCGGGCCCTCGGGCAGTGCCTGAATTTCCAAATGGTCAGTCCGCCCATGACTTAAAGTGATTTTAAAGGAAAGATCTAAAAAAAAAAAATAATATAAAAAATTAACAAAAGTTATACTTACCTGCTCTGTGTAATGGTTTTGCACAGAGCAGCCCCAGTCCTCTTCTTTTTGGGTCCCCCACCAACAGTCATGGCTCCTCCTACCAGCTAAGTGCCCCAAATTGTCTGTCCATTCACACACAGAGCATGGCTCAGCCCTGCTCCGCCCCGGCTCTTTCCTCACTGGCTGTGATGGACAGCAACAGGAGCCAATGCCCCCCCCCCCCTTTTGTGTGAACCAATGAGTAGAGAGAGACCCCAGAGAGCCCCTGCTCTCATGCACATTGCTAGATCAAGATGGGGCTCAGGTAAATATAAGGGGGCGCTGGGGAGGAGCTGCACCCAGAAGGTTTAGCATGCATAGAATGCATTGAGCCTTTAGAACCACTTTAACTGGGAAGCCAGGACTTAGTCCAGCTGCTTTCACTTCACCACTCAATATAATGGGCTGCCCCTATGACCACTTCTGAGGCACAGAAGGCTTAAGGAGTTGGTTTCAGGCACCAACTTGGAAGTTGCTTGTATTGCTATGGGTGTGCAATAGAATATAAAAACTGAAGCCGTTTGCTGACACCTTATGCCTGATCTAGAACAGCCATTCTCAACTAGGGTTCCTCCAAAGGTTGCTAGATTGGATGCAGTGGCTGTTCAGGTGACAATCTTCTGCCTGGCTCCTTAAAGGACACCAAAAACAGGGCATGCCTCCTCCGAAGGAAGTGACTGATGGCGATTCCCAAGAAGTTGAGAAGTTACGGCCGGGAGACTTGTTTCTGTTATCCCTTTGGGCACAGGCATTGTTCTCACAACAGCTGGCAGGACATGCATGCGCAGTGGCAGTATGTCTGATGGAACATGTAGTCCCAAGCACAAGGATCACATGACCCCTTTTTATATTTTGGGACAGCCGTCCATGGCCAGAAGTGCAGGGAAATGAAGTACTGGAAACCAGAGGATGATGGTACAGTATGAATGAAATGGAGCTGTACCTATTGTTCTGTGCAAAGTTTATCTGTTCCAATGAGTTGCTGATAAAAAGAGAAGGTTTTAGTACTAATATAAGCGACAGTTAAAAGGAAAACATTTGTTCTGTTCATTTTGAATAGATGCAATTTTAACAATTAAATGAACAATATAAATACAGAACAGACTATTACTTTACCAGCAGAACAACTTTCATTTATACAGAACAATAAACAGAAAGTGCCAAATGTTCCCAACATAAAACCAGGTAAACATATTAGTTCAGGAACAGAAGAAGAAGGGAGGGTGGAGGGGTTATAACGGAAAGCCAGTCTGCTGGAGGGGGGGTCCTCAACCCTCCACACATACGCCATAACATGCATGGTGGTAGATGAGCCTGTCCCTCACATTGGAGAGAAGTCATCGTCCTGGGACAGATACACATATATGACGGGACAACCAGAGGTGGATGGTGTACAAACACATATATGATGGATGGACAGAGCTCTGACATTCCGAGCGAGACTGGTACGGTAATCTGGGTTTGGATCACTTTGAACACTGCTTGTCAGGAATGGACTCAGCACTGGTGGTGGAACTCACCTGCCGTGTGGGCTACAGTACCAGGGCTGACCAGCGGGTGCTCTCAGCAGCCAGAAGCTCACTCCTGCAATCAGCCAACACCTGGGGCTGATTGCAGGAGGTGTATTTAAGGAATGGCCAGACCTGCAGTCAGTGCCTTGGTGTATGTTTCCCATGAGCCCCTGTACCTGGTATCCTGTGGTCCTGCCTATCTGCCTAGTTGCTGACCCTGCTTTGATCCTGACCTCTGCTGACCATCTCCTGTTGAACCCCTGGCTTGCCTGACCATCCTTCTGCCTGATCCTCTGTACCGCGCTGCCCGTGAGTTACTGAACTCGGCTTGTGACCCTGACTATTCTCTGCCTGCTCCTCCGGTACCTCGCTGCCCGCACGTTGCTGACCTGGCCTGCCTGACTACGCCTGACGCTACCCAGACGATTCATCCATCCCGCACGGATCCAGTCACTACTGTCCAAACCTGCCAGCCCCTTCACATTAGGCTTTCCCCCGGTACATACCCTCGGCGGACCCCTCTACCACAGTTGGGTGCACTCAGGGACCGCGACGTGGTCTCAGTCCTGCGCCAAGTCCATCCCCACCATCAGGGGCTCTGGTGAAAAGGCAGACTGGGGCTTAGACTCCACGCCCTGGGGAATCCTGTTCTGTGGGTCACTAGAGATCCCGCCGGGTGGTGCCTGACAGTGCCTTACGGCCCGCCTGACCATTCCACCTCTCCAGCCCTGACTACGCCTGTGTTCCTGAAGCCTGCTACTTCCCTGTGTCAGTCCACACATTTCTGGTCGCACCCGGATCCCTGACACTGCTTGAATTGGGCGCCATTAATTGTGTGTTTAGACCTCCTGGGTCCATGTGAGCACTTTATCATCCACATACCTGTCCAGACATCTTCCAGGTCCAAAAGCTGAGACTTTTTTTTAATACTGTTTGGCTGATAAATATATATTCTTTCCCTGTGCTAAATACTGTAAGTGTACGTCTGTCCTTGATGAAGATGCATTTGAACTGTGTTGGGAGTCCTCCATATATGCAAATTATGCACAATATTTTAACTAAATGCACAACATGGAAAATCTCAATATAGGGGATCACTGTGATTGAACTTTGTGACAATTTTTTTATGTCACTAATATTTTATCATTGTAATAAAATAAAGATTGAATATATATATATATATATATATATATATATATATATATAGTGTTGTTCATAAACATGTCTACAAAGTCCCATATATACCCAAACAAGAACGTCTGCAATGTAAGAGGCATTCTTCCCACTGATCACCAATGTAAGGGACATTCTTCCCACTGATAACCAATGTAAGGGGCATTCTTCCCACTGATCACCAATGTAAGGAGCATTCTTCCCACTGATCACCAATGTAAGGAGCATTCTTCCCACTGATCACCAATGTAAGGGGCATTTCTTCCCACTGATCACCAATGTAAAGGACATTCTTCCTACTGACCACCACTGTAAGGAGGATTCTTCCCACTGACCACCAATGTAAGGGGCATTCTTCCTACTGACCACCAATGTAAAGAGCATTCTTCCTACTGACCACCAATGTAAAGGACATTCTTCCCACTGACCACCAATGTAAAGGACATTCTTCCTACTGACCACCAATGTAAAGAGCATTCTTCCTACTGACCACCAATGTAAAGGACATTCTTCCCACTGACCACCAATGTAAAGGACATTCTTCCCACTGACCACCAATGTAAGGAACATTCTTCCCACTGACCACCAATGTAAGGAGCATTCTTCCCATTAATCACCAATGTAAGGATAATTCTTTCGACTGACCCTGCCTTCACTATATCTGGTCCCCCGGACCCTGCATTCACTATATCCGGTCTCCCAGGACCCTGCATTCACTATATCCGGTCTCCCAGGACCCTGCATTCACTATATCCGGTCTCCCAGGACCCTGCATCCACTATATCTGGTCTCCCCGGACCCTGCATTCACTATATCTGGTCTCCCCGGACCCTGCAATCACTATATCTGGTCTCCCCGGACCCTGCATTCACTATATCTGGTCTCCCAGGACCCTGCATCACTATATCTGGTCTCCCCGGACCCTGCATCACTATACCTGGTCTCCCTGGACCCTGCAATCACTATATCTGGTCTCCCACAGTATACAGAACATGGAAATGCAATTATTTTAGTAAATAAAAACTCATCAGCATTATATAGAAGTCTTGTGACTTCTATCAGTATCCAGCAGAGCACTGGTTAAAGGAGGAGTTTTAATTGTCCTCCGATTGTCCAATGAGGCTGCAGTACCCCTGGCCCTCTGTCTGGACAGTGCTGATTGGCCCTGTGTTGACATGCACTCTCCCAAGAAAAAAACACCCTCTGGTGATACACACCATACTGAGCATGTGCAGAGTGTCTCATAGAGCAGATGGATTGGGGACTGTGGAAGAAGGGGAGTATCAGAGAAGACAGGATAAAACAGCATTTTTACACAATGCGGAGGATGAACCCCTTAGGTTCCCCAGTGAGTACAACAAACGTGTTTTACTGCATATACAGACTGATTTTACTGTTGTGGGTTTAGTAACACTTTAATTATTCTGCCTTGTAACTGTTAACACCAAAAGTCAAAGTAACCCATGACTGAACTGTCAACATTTTAAAATAACTTCCAGGACTGTTTTGCTTCTTAAATACTGTTTAGAGGGGACCACAGACCCTATATACTGTACTGCTTCAAATATTTAGTACATTGAAAAGTATTTTACTATTAACTATGGCATAAAAATAAGTCTACAGAAAAAAAAAAAAAAAAGATAGAAACATGGAAACATAGAAAAGTGAAGGCAAAAAAGACTGAGTGGTCCATCGAATCTGCCCGTTTTTTGTTTTTATTTTGGTTGGTTTTTGTTTGTTTTTTTTTTTGTAGTTTTTATTTTTTCTGTATTTTTTTTAAGTATAGATCTGTGCTTGTTCCAAGCTCGTTTGAAGCTATTTGCTGCTGACTTGCTCACTGCCTCTGCTGGAAGTTTATTCCAAGCATCAACTACTCTTTCAGTAAAATAGTACTTTCTGAGATTAGTTTTGAACTTTCCTCCAGTTAGTTTGAGGTCACGTCCCCGTGTTCTTGATTTTGGTTTCATGTTGAAAATCCTTCCCTCCTGAACCTTACTCATCCCCTTAATGTATTTAAAGGTTTCAATCATTTATTTATTTATTACAGGTACTTATATAGCACCATCAATTTACACAGCGCTTCACATATATATTGTACACTCACATCGGTCCCTAACCCTCAAGAGGCGTACAATCTAAGGTCCCTAACTCACATTCATACATACACATACTAGGGGCAATTTAGACAGGATCCAATTCACCTACCAGCATGTCTTTGGAGTGTGGGAGGAAACTGGAGTACCCGGAGGAAACCCACACAGGCACAGGGGAGAACATGCAAACTCCAGGAAGGTGATGCCGTGGTTGGGATTCAAACCAATGAGCCTACTGCCAGGTGGAAGTGCTAACCATTTAGCCACTGTGCTGCCCATATTGTACATTCCCATCAGTCCCTAACCCTCAAGGGGTGTACAATCTAAGGTCCCTCACTCACATATATACACATACTAGGGCTAATTTAGACAGGAGCCAATGAACTTACCAGTATGTCTTTGGAGTGTGGGAGGAAACCCGAGAACCCAGGGAAAACCCACGCAGGCACAGGGAGAACACGAAAACTCCAGGCAGGTGGTGCCGTGGTTGGGATTCGAACCAACGACCCTAGTACTGCCAGGCGGAAATGCTAACCATTTAGCCACTGTGCTGCCCCATCATGTCTCCCCTTTCCCTTCTTTCCTCCAAACTGTACATGTTAAGTCAGGGGCGGACTGACCATTCGAGCACTGCCCGAGGGCCCGGGGTCAGTAGGGGGCCCCATGAGATGCCCCTGGTACTTTTATAGGCTTTTTTGGGTGTGGTTTGAGTGTGGACGAGGACACAGGGGCCCCATGATCCCCTATTGCCCGGGGGCCCCATGAGTTGTCAGTCCACCACTGTGTTAAGTTCCTGAAGTCACTCTTGATATGTTTTATCCCCCGGACCTTTCAACATTTTGGTTACCCGTCTCTGGACTCGTTCCATCTTTTCTATATATTTTTGTAAGTGATAAAATATATCTATAACACAAAGAAAAGGAGAGATGCTCTTTTATGGTTGGACTGCATAAAAAAAAAACAAGAATATTTACAAGACAGAAATTTCCAGGGACAAATCAAACTGTCCTTGAAGTCAAGGACAACTGGCATCTACACACATTTTAAAGCGGAGTCCCAGCATGGTACTATCTCTGGAAATGGTGCTAATACATAAAGATTATTGCTTCTCTGGGCGTCATAAATACACACATAGACATACGTGGGTGGGCCGACTTCATAAACTGAAACTAAGAGGATGGAGAAACAGAAGTTGTCATTGCTGACTTGCTGTCAAGGTGAATGTTCCATGGTTGCGATACTGATCCCGGTTCTACTACCCAATGCAGCAAAGGATCCCACCAACCATCACATGACATCATCGCAATCAGGGGTGGACTGACCATTTGGAAACTCATGCACTGCCCGAGGGCCCAGGGTCAGTAGGGTGCCCCATAAGATGCCCCTGGTACCTTTTTCATAGGCTTTTTTGAGTTTGGGCAAGGACACAGGGGCCCCATGATCCCCTATTCCCCGGAGGCCCCATGAGTTGTCAGTCCGCCCTTGATCACAATGCAAAAGAAGAGACAAAGATAACCGCATCGCTCCTATCAAAGGTTAGGGCACAGCAACCTGCCCCTCCAATAGATAGAATAGTACATATAACTACTTGCCCCCCCCCGTCATATAGCAGAAATACTGCTACAGGGCAGCAGGGCTGCGCAAAGTCACATATATATATATATACATGATCTGCATTTCCGGGTAGGGGATGTGCACCGTCCTACCCACACGGATGTCAATTACCAGGTCCCGGCCGGAGATTCTCCACCGGCACCCGGCGATTACCGATTATCACTGAAAGGGGGAGAAACCTGTGTGTAAACAACACAGGTCTCTCATCTGCCAGCAAGGATATGCTGCTGTGTATTTCTCTGCACAGCAGAGAAATACACGGCAGTATGTTTTCCTAGTAAAAACAGCACACGATGTAAAAGACACACAGCACACAGTTAACCCTTTGATCGCCCCAGATGTTAACTCCTTCCTGCCCATGTCATTAGTGCAGTGTCAGTGCTTTTTATTAGCACTGATCACTGTATTCGTGTCATTGGGATGTCAGTGGCAGTTAGTCAGTTCCCCCCCAGTGTCAGAATGCCCGCCGCAGTCCCGCTATAAGTCGCGGATCGCCACCATTACTAGTATAAAAAAAATAAAATTCAAGTGTCTATACCGCTGTTTGTAGACGCTATAACTTTCACGTAAACCAATTAATTTACACGTATTAGGATTTTTTTTTTTAACAAAGACATGTCGCAGAATATATTTTGGCCTAAATTTATGAAGAAATTTGACTTTTAAATTTTTTTTTACTGGATATGTTTTATAGCAAAAAGTAAAAAATATTGTTATTTTAACCAAATGGTCGGTCTTTTTTTGTTTATAGCGCAACAAATAAAAACTTCTGAGGTGATCAAATACCACCGAAAGAAAGCTCTATTTGTGTAAAAAAAAAAAGGACATAAATTTCATTTGGGTGCAGTGTTGCATGCCCGTGCAATTGTCAGTTGAATTAAAGCAGCGCCGTATCGCAAAAAATGACTTGGTCAGGAAGGGGGGTAAATCCTCCGAAGGGCGAGTGGTTAACATGTACTATTAAAATCATAACTAAACACCATGCTCCACGTACTATGAGCTCGACTGCCACTCAGCACCACTCAGTATACCAGAAAGATTAAAAAAAAGCAAAAAAAACCCCAAAAAACCCCATATAACGGCTGACCCTTCGGATGTGTGTGACTACTTTTTTCCCATTCCCCTGTACATTGCGCTCACTAAGAAACACATCTAAATTATTTTTTCTAACTTATCTACACCCCTAGCTGACACCACCAACTGTGAAAGGGAGCTCCACATCCTTTCCACTCTAAGGCCGACCATACATGGGTAGATTTTCGAACGATTTTTTCGTTCGAAAATCGGACCTAAGAATAATCGGACGATTTTCGCTCTGTTAGTGGGGCAATGGCACTGGCCGATTTTAGTGGTTCCTCCCCATTTCGTTTATCAGGCATGCTGTAAAATTTGTGAAAAACGATTGACTTTAGAAATCATTGGTGGCACCATTGGATTACAGAATGAACGATGTTTACGATTTTCGATCGAAAAATAGTTCCGAATTTGACCCATGTATGGCCTGCTTAACAGTAAAGAACCCCCTTTGCAGCTTGAGATTGAACGGCTTCCCATTCAACTTCATTGTGTGTGGCCATGTGTCTTCTTAAGCCTCTCCAGGGATATCTGTAATGGTTCCTCATAACTGAGGTTCTCCAGCCCCCTTATTAGCTTTTGTTGCCCTTCCCCGGATTCTCTCCAGTTCAAACACATCCTTCCTGAGGATTGGTGACCAGAACTGGATGGCATGATAAAGATGTGGCCAAATCAGAGTTTTGTTGGGAATGTACCCTGTAAGCCACAGAAACTTTCCTTTTCCTCTTCACTTCACTTTTTGTATGGAACAAGAAGCACACATTGAGTCATGTTCACTGCCCTGTGGACAGCACAAATCCCGTATTCCATGGTCCATATCAGGAGCAAGCAATAGAGGGTGGCTACATTCCTACATAGACTATAGTGTCAAAAGTATCGGTCGGCCGGCCTTTCCACACACATTAACATTAATGGCCCCAGTCTTAGTCCGTAGGGTTCAATATTGGGTTGGCCCCGCCCTTTCCAGCTATAACAGCTTCAACTCTTCTGGGAAGGCCGTCCACAAGGTTTAGGAGGGTGTCTATGGGAAGGTTTGACCATTCTTTCAGAAGGACATTTGTGAGGTCAGGCACTGATGTCGGAGGAGAAGACCTGGCTGGCAGTCTCCACTCTAATTCATCCCAAATGTGTTCTATGGGGTTGAGGTCAGGAC